AGAGGGAGGGGAGGGGGGAGAGAAATGACAACAACAACGTTAGCGCGGGGCGGCCGTAACGGGACCCGCCGGTTCCCGTCCGCACCTCAGCGACCCACAGCTGCCGGGGGTGCAGGGGGACGGGGGTGCGGCAGAGCTCCTTCCTCCGTCACCGCCGTCCTTAGGATTCCCGGTGCGATGAATGAGTCATTTGACAATGTTCCGCGGTGACAAGCACCGGGAAGGCGATCGCTCTGAGGTTACTTCGCGCATCGCCTCTATCGTCCGCTCCTTCCCAGCACGGGGAGGCGGGAAAGCGGCCGGGAGGGGCGCGGGGCCGGAGACAACGGCTGCAGGGACAGGGACCGGGATGGCCCCGAGCCCTCCGCCGCATCTCTGAGAGGAGACGATGTCTTTGAGAGGGGGCACCCGTAGGGACCGACACGCAGATGGGCGCGGAGCGCGTCTCTCTCCCGCCCGAGATAAGCGGCAGATAAGGGCCGGCAGCTAGATAAAGCTGCGGCCCCGCCGTCGGATGTTTGCCCACAAACCTCCCTCGGGCTCCCCTGGCGGAAAGCGAACGGAAAGGAGCGGGAAGAACGGGGGCCCAAACCTGCTGCCGGCTCCGGGCCGGGAGGGATCCAGCGCCGAGGGGCAGCGGCGGCGGCGGGCGGCGTATAAATGGGAGAGAGGAGGCGCCTCTCGCCGCCGGGCCGGGAAAGTGCAGGCGGAGCGGCCCTGATTGGGCTCCGGGCGCTGAGCAAACAGCGGCTCCGCGGGAGCTGCGGGCGGGCGGCCGGGGGGGCACCGCAGCGCTCGGGGCCGGGCAGGGGAGGAGGGGGGCGGGGGGGCCGCGCTCGGCGGTGTCGCTGCCGTTAACCCTTCGTTCTGCTCCTTAGCACCAGAGCGCTGCGAGGGGGAACGCGCACTCCTCCCCGGCCGTCAGGTGAGGCCAAAGCCGTGTGCGAGCCGGCGGCGGTGCGCATTTCTCCGCTGCTTCTTTCTCGTTCTTCTTTTTTTCCTCCCTCTTTTTCTTCCCCCCACCACCACCCCACATACCCCCACCCTCCGATCCTCTTATCTCAGCTGTGTACAAACTGATAGCGGGAAAGTGAGTGGAAAATTAAAATAACGGCGTTGCCCCGAGGTTATCGCCTGCGGATCTGTCGGCGTCGCTCCGCGAAGGGCGGGGGTGGGGGGAGGGGGGAGAGAACCTAGGGGGGCAGAATGGGGGAACGAGTGGAAACGTTCCTCTGCAGGATTGTAGCTTTACTCGGGGCTCTGTGTGGATACTGATGTTGTCCTACCGGATTAGGAGTTTTGTTTTATTTGTATTTTATTTTATCTTTTAAAAAATATATTTAATTTCATTGCATTGCATTCCATCGTTATTTTTACCTTTCGATGTTTGTTAACTGGCCTAATAATACGTAGAAAATAACCTTTTCGAAGCAGCGATCCTCTGTCTTTTAACGCCCCGCGCTCACTCCCATAGGACTTTGCCACGTAAAACGCTTTTTCTTTCTCCCTCCTTGTTCGTTACCTGCGGGGGAGCCCCGAGCGCGATACAGACGCCGCCTTTCCCCCCACACGTACCGATCCCCGCCCCTAAACGCCGCCGGCTCCACGCTTCCTTTCGGGTCGGGCCGAGCCCCGCGGGGCGCCTACCCCCGGCACGGCTGTGCCCCCCGCAGCCCTGCTGCCGCCAGCTCCTCGTGGTCTCACTCCGTGCCCAAATCGCGTTCTTCTGACGTAACGGTGAGCCCCCAATCCCAAACCCCACAGCCGGGCGTTGCAATCCCTTAGGGCAACCCCACCGGGCGCTCTTCATCTAAGGGAGGGCCCAGCTGTGAGGGGTCACTTTGGGGACCGTGGCGCTCTCCCCGGGCGGTGTTTATGTAACGCCTTGTACTCGAGCGGCGCGGGGAGCCAGTGGGGCCGGGCCGATAACGCAGCGCCCTGAGCCGACGTGCTGCCTGCGCTCCCCTCCGTTCCTTATCCCAGTGCCTTAAAATACGCTGTTATCGCCCCCCTCCCCGCTGGGACATCGGGTCCGACGTTATCGCCCGGGAGGCGGCGGGGCGGGAAGCGAGCTCTCCGTTCGTCCCCTCGGGCCCGACGGTTGGCGGAACTCTTCCCCCTAAAAGCCCGCGGCGGTTCGGAGGGATGTTGACCGTTCCCTTCTCCCTATCGATAAGGGCTCCCGGGGCCGAAAAGAACATTTCGTTTTCTGCTTCAAAAACCTGCGGGCAGCGCTGCGCTCCCGTTCCTGCGCTAAGAACCGCCGCGGGGGCCTTCCGAGGGACGAAGCCACCGCACCCAGCCGGGCAATGCCCCCGGCACCGCCTTCCCCTGTGCTTTTGACTTCGGCTTTTTTGTTATTTCTATTGTCAGCACCGCCGGCAACGGACGTCCCATTGGAAACAACGTTCGTGAGGGACAGTCTGAAACAAAGATGCAATTTACATATATATACACACATATATATAATTACATATACACGCACGAAATATGTAAATGTATATATACACTCATATATATACACTCACATATATGTGTGCATATATATATAAAAATATATATACACTGTGTATATACATGTATATCTACAGTGTGTGCGTATATATGTATACATATATATGTATGAGTATATATGCACACACGAAAATTGCAATCTGACTTCAGCAAAGCCCCTCCCTTGCTCCAAACCAACAGATTTCCAATTGCCGTTCCGAGAGCAGTGGCACAATTTGGCGACTCCGCTGCTGCTCGTCTTGAAGCGTCGGGATCTCTGCCGGGGGCCGCGCGATCCATTCTGTAAATTGAAGTCTCATTCGATCGATGGGTAAAAAAAAAAAAAAGAAGAAGAAGAAGCGAATAGAAGCAAACCAAAGCCGCCACATTGCAGCGGGAGGATCTCAGGGCTGGCTGAGAACACATTATTGAAATAATCATAATTATAATTAAGAAATGCGGATGCAGCGGAACACCCTCACACACCCTCACCCTTCCCCCTACCCCGCTCCCCCTTATTTTGTACTCCTTTTCTCTTTCCTTCTCCCTTTATCCCACCCAAAAGTACCGCCGGCCCCGCGCAGATCCCCGCGCAATGTCCGTCGTTCCCGTCCTGTCCCCGCAGCAGCGTTTGTCCGTTCGCTACGCAAAGGATCGGCGCTTTTCGATTGCCTTAGGAAAACGCCGGTCTGTGTGTTACCGACGCATCGAATTTATTGCTAATTACGACGACATCGGGATCGGAAAGTCCCAAAAGACGCTTATGACCGGGAGGCTGCACTGTTGCCGTCCCATCGCCACCGTCGGTGTGTTGTAAAGGGTCACAGATGAGTGCATTCGGAGGTGCGAACTGCTCTGTTTCAGTCCGGATTGGATGGACGCGAGTGCAGCCGGGCGTGCTTAGGGGCTGGCTTTGCGCACTGTCATCAGTTCCTACGTTTATCACAGTCGATGATAAAACTCAGGGAAGAAATTAAAGCTTTATCACAGCGGTGCCTGAGTAGGTGGGAGTCATCCCGATGGCTCTGCTTTTCAGCATTCGTAACATTGGCAGGGTGTAAACGGTCCTCCAACTCGGAATGCCCAATGGTTCTATGGCTCTAAATCCACGTGCTGGAATCTGCACAGTGGCTATTTCCAAGGCGAAAAAAAAAAAAAAAGAAAAGAAAAAAAAAAGAAAAAAAAAAAGACGTTTGCATCTTTGATGAGCCCTGAATATAACAGCATCAGCTATGCACCAAAACACCTCCGGCAGTTTGTAAGCAGGACTGCATCTGGGTCTTGCACTGAGCTGCTATTCAGAACGGCCAAACAGAAGCTGAGGCATGCACAACTGCAATATCTAGCTGTGAAATAAAGCAATTTAAAAATAAAATTACAAGAAAAAAGCTTTTACTTATTAGAGATTTGTGTGTGTTGCTTGCTTTTACTGCAGCCCAGCAGAAACGTGCACGTTCTGTGGGGCAGGGTGGCTGCCCCCTGTGTTTCACACTGGGCTCTGTCAGGTTACAACACCTCTGTGGTGCAGGTGCCGGCAGCTGCGTGGGCACTGAGGCTGTGCAGGAGGATGGGGATAGACAGAGGGAAGTGAGGTGGCAGCAGAGGTTCAAACTGATGTTCTGTTCTTACATACCACGTAGGGCAATGCTCTCTCAAGTGGATTTATTTCAGCCCGAACCTGGACTCCAAGCTGTACCCTTCAGGTTCTCCCTACAGAAGCAGGCACTGCTCAACTCCCAAGACCCTGCCTCTCGCTGTGCTCCATTTTCGTATCTCCTCAGTTTGGCTTTTGATAGCTTCAACAGAATTGTTGAATGACATTTCCTTCGGTGGGGCTTTTAGAAACAAATTAGCTTCATCTCTGCTTGCAAGAAATAGAAAAACATATTTTTCTGGTGCCTGCCTGGAACCATGTGTGCCTGCGAGGTCCAGAGGGCGACACCTCTTCCACAGCATTTCCTCTAATACACCCATAGAAGAGAAACTAACGGCTGGGAGCTGTGCCTACAAGAAAGCTAAAAACATTCTGTACAGAAATACACTGACCGAAGCCAAGTGTTTGTGCTGTAGGAACACAGAGCTGGGTGCATCTGCAGAGGAGATCAGAAAGCAAATAGTTCAACCTGAGCTGTAAAGGGAGCACAGAGGGATGGGGCAGTGGGCCCCTCACTCAGCAGAAGGAGGGAGAGCTGCCATGGGTCCATCCCACTCTTTGCACGAAGGCAGTATCCAACAGCCCTACAGCCTCACGTTGCTAAAAAGAGCAGCAGTATATCTCCGTTGTGGTATTCAACGTTACGAGGGTTCCCAGTATCTGTCAGTGAATATCAAAAATAGGCTGTTTAATGGACTAAATTATTTTATCAGCCCTCTTTTTGGAAGGGAGAATCCTGCTGAGTAAAGAAGTCAGTAAAGCCTCACCACTGAGGACCTGGCTGCAATGGGAGTTTTGCTGGAGGAGGGCCCGTAAGAATTGACCTATTTAATTAAAATGTGACAGCATGCATTTTCCTTTACATCACTACACCCCGGTGTCAGACTTAGGGTCACAGATCTGTTACAGCTGAGCAAAGTGTCCCATCTTGGGTCCCCTCTCTTGGTTAAAAAGAAAGCAAAAAGATGCTCTTAGGGAAATGCGTTGATGATTAAAAATAAACATAATGGTCTAAATGAACACTACCGACAGTATTAAAAAGGATGGCTTAATTATGTTGGTTGATGTCAGTTAATCATTTTGGGGCCATCCAGATCTAAACCAGGGTAATTTATTGACTGCAATAAAAACTGGACTTGTGCCATATTATTCAAGAAAAACAATACACTGCAAAAACAATACGGAGAAGAGGTAATTTGTACAGAGTTCATGAGACAATTATATATCATCTAAGCACAAAACTGACTCACTATGCCCTTGGCTCCATTTATTATGAGAGGTTTGAAGGATGTGCTGAACATACTGAGAGTCCAGGAATTTTAACTGAAATCCTGCCTGTACACCCAAGTAGGCACCCAGGGACTGGTGTGACCCAGCACACAGACCAGGGAAGCGTTCCTGGATTCAGGACTCAGGACACTACTTCATTATTCGGTGCTGTTTTGCTTAGGGGTGCCTTGAAACTCCATCAATAATATCATTGGAAAACTTTGATGAAGAATTCAAGACCAAAACAAACAAACAAACCAACCCAACCATTTGAAGAATTAATGACTGGTTTGAAATCCTGAACGGCAGTCTGAAAGCTGCCTAAACGTTACTTGCTTCTCTGGCACTTCTGCTGGTGCAGAGCTTCTCTGGAGCAATCTGAAGGGGACGCCTGTATGCGAGCAGATGCATTCCTTGTTTAAACAGAGCAAATACGCTGCGGTGCCTGAACTGTACTGTGGAAGTTGGGCTGTGCCCATCGAAGCCCAGAAATGACCTGGACCAAAACAAAAGCAAGTTGCTGAATTATTCTTCAAATTGCCAAGTCATATCTGCACTGCAACCTTCTGAAGTATTGTTGGATGCTTTTCCTTGAACTTTTCAAGCTATTTAAGGAATGTACAAATATTTTCTTTGTTGATTATGTAAAAAATATCATTAAATGAAGCTTTTTCCCCCCCCCAATTTGCATGTCTTCTGATGTTTCTTACTCTGTTTATCGTGCATTTTGTGTTTGAATAGATTTCAGTGGGTGATGTCTAGCCACGCTACCACAAACTGTGGAGGAGGTTAATGGTTATAATGAATATTCATTTATAAAACGGGGAAAACCTCAGTGCCTCTTTATTTGTTTCTATTAATAATAATTCTGGCTGGCCTACAATACATTTTAAAACTAAGGCTATGAGAATTGAGGAGCAAATGTTGAGTCTGGGAGACCTGGGTCCTGCCTTTAACCTGTGTAGGGTCTGGATGTTGGAAGGTCCTTCTGCAGCACGTTGGCTTTGGTGCCGTGCTGTCAAGCAGCCCTCTCTGGCAGCCTGGATGGTCCCTCCTGCCCAGAGGAGCTGTGCTGGTGCCAGCCCTGCAATCACTGCCTTCCCGTCATGTTAATGGAATTCCACGTGGGACCACACCGGGAGAAAGACCACTGAAGTGGTTACATTTAAAAATATCTCCCTCTCTCTTCCTCCTGCAGGAGGTTTATTTTTAACTTCCACTACTTCAGCGCTCTGGTTTGAGCTGTCCTGCAGACAGCTGTTTTGGCACTGCTGAGGAGGTGACAACTGTGGGACAGAGGTGGCAACCATCATCTGGGGCAGGGGCTGGCTGGGACTACGGTGTGATAGTTCATTGTATGGGCTTAAACTTTGCCTTTCCTGGCTCTTCTTATAGCCATGTAGCATCTCTGCTGCAAATCCCTGGTACAGAAGTGCCGCAGCATTGTTGTTTTCTTCTCCCAGCTCAATTTACACAAGAGATTTCCCAGAACCATAGGATCATAGAATATCCCCAGTTGGAAGGGACCCATAAAAATCATTGAGTCCAACTCCTGTTTGCAGTCACACAAGTTTTATTGTGGAAAAACACAGTGTAGGCAATGCCTCAGCCAAATCATGAAGCCTGTGCCCCTAAAGACATTTGTAGGTGGCTCATATTCGGTCGGTTACAGGCTTAAATGGACAGGGTTAGTATCAGGCATTTGGTTGGAGACGGTGCCTTGGCCATGGGGCAGCAGCCTCTCATGCTCCCCAGCTGCAATTCCCTGCAGGTCTCTGATCACAGCCCTACTTATTTTGCTTACATTCAAAGGATTAAGCTGCATATGCGATTCAGGACTGAGTAAGAACTTCTCCCAGGTCAATTTGGCTGGGATTTAGGGTTCTTCCATCTTTTCTTAAAGCCATGAGTCACTTGCTGAAATCTCTCTGGCCTTCATTCTTATCTCTCCAGCTTCCTGCCACTCCATGGATCTCAGGTGATGATGGTCCTTCGATTGCTTCTATCCTCTGCCTGTCATTTTTGTCTATCTGTGAATTTTGCAAAAAGCTACAGCCTAGTTCAAATTGTTGTATACAGCTTTGCAAGCACTTGGGTGAACTTGCATAGCCTTTAACATGCGGGAAGTCAGATAAAATCTAATCTTCTCCACATTAGGGTAAAACTGTGTCCCTGTCTGCTCTACAGAAGACAGCATACTGCATAGTATAACCCATCCTACAACTCTGATGACTAAATGCAATCATCCAACTTGTTCGTGTGACAGCATCACAACATGACCTCATCACCACCCTGAGGTGCAAGAATTGCAGGAAGCTGTGATTCACATGGCTTTGGAGCTCTCCATTAGTGCCTCAGGTATCTCATTTTTCACGTGTAATCTGGATTTTGAGCCTACACCCTCAGTTCATCAGGTGATGTGTCTCATTCCAGTCTTGATCTAGACTAGGGACACATGACCTCTGCTTTCACTAGATTCAAGACTTCAATATCAATTTTTTTTTATAAGACTTTCCTTGTCTGCACATGCATGTTTCTTTTTCCTGATCCACATGCACTTTTCCAATTCTCCCTCAGATTTGTCTGTTATTGTAATGCAGATAAAAACAAGATAGTGTCATGATGGCTCTAATGGAGCTTTTCCATGGCACTCTACTTTTTCTCAGTGGCATAAGAAAAATACCTAATGAAAAGTCAACTTTGAAAATGATCTGGCTCATTAAAGCATGATTTTGTGATGAAATTTTCCCAAGAGGTGGCTCAAACTTGCTGGATTGGGCTGTATCATGAAGATCTGCAGTCCTTCCTGAGCATCACATGAGGAGGGAACACTCTTGCTGTTTTCAGTGACTTTACCTCCACTGATTATCTGTTATCTTTTCACCTGTGAATCTCATTCATGTATTTTCTGTCCTCATTCCCCAGAGGTGTAGCTTCAAAAAACTCACCCAGAGCATACAGAATCTTCCTCTCCAGCTTCCTCTGGAAATCACAATATGGTATGGAGGCAATTTTTAAAAAATGGTGTATTTTCCTAGCAGCCCTTATACAGCCACCAAATTGGCAGTTCTTTCAGAGGTGATTGGCATTCCTCTCAAAAAACTATTGCCAAAGTCTGCCAAAATTCAAAGGGAAGAGAGAGAAGGGCTAGCAGGTAACTGATCCATTTTGGAGCTGACATGTTGTGACATGAGGCATGCTTTTATATGAAAGGCAAAGAATCAGGTTCCTTCCCAGGTGAGGAGCAATATGATGGCTTAAATGCGGAAGGGTAAACGATGTGTGGCATGCAGATGGTCCTGCATGGAAAGCATACCCAAGAAAAGAACTGATCTCACACAGCTGTACTGGAAGGTTAAAAGTTGCTGGATGAGTGATACTGAGTTGGTGTTCCTTTTCCTAGCTGTAACTTATTTATAAGAAGAGAAAGAAGGAAAACTCATGGAATAATGAAGACGAATGTGATAAACATACCTGAGCCTGTCTACTTGTTTTAGTGGCTAATTCCCCTGGAGGAATCCTGCGGGGCTTTAAGAAATTCTTAGTGATGAAGATTTATGAAGCCCTTTTAAAAACTTCATTAAAGGGTCAGAGAGATTTAAGTGGCCTTGCAAGCTCTGCACTGAGCCAAGAGATTCACTCAGCAGAAGTTCAGCCAAAACAGTGCAGGGAGAGATGCCGTGCGTGGACTGCCTTGTGCGCTGGGCTAGGGATGGTGCTGCCCATGTCCATATAAATGGTCCATGCCCATATAAATGGTCCATGCCCATATAAATGGTCCATGCCCATATAGAGCTGCCACACCTGAGGTGGTCAAAGGAAGCTGTTTAGTAAAAAGAGTTACGAATAGGTGCAGGCTGGTGCACATTGGTAAGCGTGCCCAATCTGCATACACGGTGTCACTGCTCCAGTGCCTCTCTTTGTTCAGCTTCCCTCCCTTTGGGTAAAACACGCTAAAGTGTTTTTGCAGTTTGGATGAAACGTACATTCCTCCTTCTGACAACGTCTGCCTGAATCCCTTCAAACCATGGCACAGAATCTTACCTTCCATCCTGATGCCCCCCAAGCAGTTGTTTAGGAGTGCAATTATTTAGATATAAATAGCAGTGCTTATTAAGCTGGCAATCACTCCCAGCTATGAACATATAAATCAAGTTGGCTTGTTTGTGTTTTTGAGAGAAAGGAGGTGGCAGTGGTAGGTGGGAGGGGAAAGTTCCCGGATAATACTGTTATCACTCCTCGTCTCACCATGAGCAGGGAGCATTTCATCTGTGCCCTGCAGAGCTTTTCCCATCTTCATCCCATCACTGCTGATGTGGCACACCATATCAGGCATGCGAGGGTGGTTTGTGGACTTACAAATAGGGTCATCTCCCAGAAAAACTGCACTCTTTTGTAGGTGTTCTGCAGGATGAGCTTTGGTAGGAAACAGACTTTGCTTACCTTGATGGAGAGAGAGATGGAGGCTGTTCTGGCAGAGCTGCAGGTTGAGCCACCATTCCATTTGCTTGCTAAAGATGTTTGGCCCCTAGAAAGGAGTCACAATGGAGCAGATGTTGTGAGCTGTTACACAGCCCACTGTAAACCGAAGTAGCAAATCTCCTCTGGAAGATGTGTTTCAGCTTGACTGCCCTCCTGCAGCAGACACCTTCACTAGGAGGCTTGTAGTGCACTGTGTTGTATGTTAGATGAAGGATAACAAGTGTTACACAGCCTTGGTGCCTAAAGATGAAGGAAGGAGGGTAAAAAGAGAAAGATACTAGAGGATGGAGATGGAGATGGAATGGAGAAATCTGAGAAAACTGCAGTAAGAGAACCATTGGACAAAGCCATCCAAGACCCACTTCCCCTCATGACCTGTCCCCAGCAGCACCAGCAGCATGCAGAGAAGCCTACCGAAAAAGGGCGTATGAAGTGATACCTACACTGTATTTGTTTAATCCTATCCCCAGCCTCTTAAATACATTCAACTCGAAATGTCTTCAACAAGTGTGAAAGGGAGCTCCTGAGTTTTAGCAGTGCATTATTGAAAGGAGAATCTCATATAGGAGTCAGTCCTCTCCATTTCAGGAGAGCTTGTTCATACTAGCTGTCATTAAGGAATGCACTTTTTACACTTGTGAAGCAAAGCACCACCTTTGCACTACCTGAAAGGGATAGAGGGAACTAAACTCTTTCAAACAGTTGCTCCACAATTGGGTTCCTTGGAGGACTGGCTCTAGCCCAGGGCATCCTCAAATAGGGGTCTAATCTATGATTGATGCTACAGGCAATGCCCAGCCAACCACCTGGCACTACATTAGCATCTGCTGGAAGCACAGCACTGGCTATAGAGTCTCCAAAGCAAGCCATAATAACACTTTCCAAACAGTTAATCCATAACAGTTTGCAGCCAAGAAGACCAACTGTGTCCTGGGCTGCATCAAAAGAGGGATGGCCAGCAGGAAGAGAGAGGGGATTGTCCCCCTTCTATTCTGCCCTTGTAAGACCCCATCTGGATTACTGTGTTCAGGCCTGAGGCTTCCAACACAGGAAGGATGTGGAGCTATTGGATTGGGTCCAGATGGCTATTGGATTGGGTCAGAGGGCTGGAACACCTCTCCTATGAAAAAAAAAAAAAGGTTGAGGGAGTTGTTTAGCTTAGAGAAGAGAAGGCTCCACCAGATCAAATTGCAGCTTT